AAGGGTCTTAGCCCCTCTCTTTGTATGCATCGCATACATTTAGAGGATGATGCCAAATCGTCAATTGAACATCAACGTAGGCTAAACCCGAACATGAAAGAAGTGGTCAAGAAAGAGGTCTTGAAATTGTTAGATGCGGGTATCATTTACCCGATTTCGGATAGCTCTTGGGTTAGCCCGGTGCAAGTCGTGCCTAAGAAGGGAGGAATTACGGGCGTTCATACCGACTAGAACTGTTACGGGATGGAGAATGTGCATTGATTATCGAAAACTTAACACAAACACCCGTAAGGATCACTTCCCCCTTCCATTCATTGACCAAATGTTAGAGAGACTTGCATTGCATTCTTATTTTTGTTTTCTCGATGGTTACTCCGGTTTCTTTCAGATTCCTATCCATCCGAGTGACCAAGAGAAAACAACATTCACATGCCCTTACGGCACTTTTGCATATAGACGCATGCCATTTGGATTGTGCAATGCACCCGCAACTTTTCAAAGATGCATGATGGCTATTTTCTCCGATGTCATTGAAGATATTATGGAGGTGTTCATGGACGATTTTTCCGTCCATGGACCCTCCTTTGATGCGTGTTTAACCAATCTCCATCGAGTGTTAGACAGGTGTCGCAAGGCGAACTTGGTTTTGAATTGGGAGAAATGCCACTTTATGGTGCAAGAGGGCATTGTGCTTGGTCATCGGATTTCGGACAAGGGGATAGAGGTGGATAGAGCGAAAGTGGAAGTGATTGAGAAGTTACCGCCACCGACCAACGTTAAAGGGATCAGAAGTTTCTTGGGTCACGCCGGATTTTACAGGAGATTCATCAAAGATTTTTCGAAGATAGCGAGACCCTTGACTGCGCTTTTGGGCAAGGACATCCCGTTTGAGTTTAATGAGGAGTGCCACAAGGCATTTGGAATATTGAAGAAGGCATTAGTTTCACCTCCCATCATTCAACCCCCGGATTGGAGTATCCCTTTTGAGTTAATGTGTGATGCTAGCGACTTCGCGGTCGGGGCCGTATTGGGACAAAAGAAAGATGGGAAACATTACGCTCGATGACGCTCAAATGAACTACTCCACCACGGAGAAAGAGCTCCTTGCTGTAGTATTTGCCTTCGAGAAATTTAGATCATACTTGGTGGGTTCTAAGGTCATCGTCTACATGGATCACGCCGCCTTAAGGTACTTGCTCACGAAGAAGATCTGCCACTGTATTCTCCGTTCCTTTCCTATCCCGGATCTCCAGATCAAACTCTTGCAGAAGCAACACCCATCGGATCAGTCTTGGTTTAGCATCCTTTTTCGTGAGCAAGTACCTTAAGGCGGCGTGATCCGTGTAGACGCCACCCGGAATGTGCATGAGTAGAGAGTTTTTGTTCCTCTCAATACTGGTTCCAGGACCTATACATCCTAGAAGAAGTTTAGATGTGTTTCTTTAACCGTTGATAGAAGAGTTGAATAAGTTGTGGAGTGTAGGTGTCACTGCATACGATGTGTCGGTGAGGCAGAATTTTTTGCTTCGAACAGTTCTTTTATGGACGATTAGTGATTTTCCAGCTTACTCTATGTTGTCAGGTTGGACAACACATGGTCGTCTAGCGTGTCCATATTGTATGGATGAAACTGATGCATTTTGGTTGCAGCATGGACGAAAAATGAGTTGGTTTGATAGCCATCGGCGTTTTCTACCAAGAAATCACGTGTTACGACGCAACAAGAAGAATTTTCGAAGAAATATAGTTGTTGTTGATTCTGCGCCACTTGAACATACCGGGGATGAAATTTTACTTGAACGAATCGAAGAATGTGTTCGGTCACATGGATTATCTACTACATCAGTGGTTGGTGGTAACGGTCATTTACCGATTGAAGGATATGGTGATTATCACAACTGGCATAAGAAGAGTATATTTTGGGAATTGCCATATTGGAGACATCATAAATTACGACACAATCTTGATGTTATGCATATCGAAAAGAATTTTTTCGATAACATCATTAATACAGTGTTGAACGTTGCTCAGAAAACAAAAGACAATATCAACTCAAGGAAGGATATAGGGTTGATTTGTTCGAGGAAGGATTTGGAACTTACACCTGATGGAAAGGCGCCGGTACCAATTTTCCGTGTGTTTGGAGAAGCGAAGATGAACTTTTTTAGATGGTTACAGGAAGATGTGAAATTTCCTGATGGTTACTCGTCAAATATTTCGCGATGTGTTGACCTCGGAGGAAAAAAGTTAACAGGTATGAAGAGTCATGATTGTCACGTCTTCATGCAACGATTGTTACCTATTGCATTTGCAGAGATACTTCCAGAACATGTCAACCAAGCTATATCAGGTATGTTTTGTTTCGTAGTAGCGATTTTAATAGTACTTAAGATCTTTACACGTGTGCTTTAGTTATGTTGATATTGTATTTATAACCTCATGTTTTTGAACCGTAGGAATTAGTAACTTTTTCCGGGAAATCTGTAGTCGGACATTGAAAAATGAAGACGTCCAGTTGATGAAGCAAAATATTGTTCTAATTTGGTGCAATTAAGAGAAGATATTCCCACCATTTTTTTTTTGCTGTGATGGAACATCTGCCAATTCATCTGCCACGAGAAGCAAAACTCGGCGGTCCAGTTCAGTTTAGGTACGTATATACATTAATATTGTCTATATGATTTTAATTATGTATATGAATGGATACGTAGATTTATTATGCAATTGTTGTAGATGGATGTACCCGTTTGAGCGCTTTATGTACCACTTGAAGCAAAAAGCGAAACAAAAGGCGTTTGTTGAAGGAAACATTGTAGAGCAATATATAAACGAAGAAATATCATTCTTCACCTCGTATTATTTTGAAGATCAAGTGCAAAAAAAGAATAAACAACCAAACAGACCATTTGACACCGTAGATGGACCGGAGTACGGTAATGTTGTCATGGATATTCCGCAATGTTTCTACAGAAAAGGACGATGTGGTGGTCGAGAAATCGATGCACATTTATCGGACAAAGATTACCATGTGGTCCACACGTATGTTTTGTTGAATTGTGAAGAAGTTCTACCGTTCGAAAGGTGCGTATATACGTATTTATTTTTTAATT